AGACCAACCTGTAATTTTGAATAACATTTGTGTGAAACACATCAGTTACATTTCTTACATCATGAAGTTCTTCATAATCTTTTATAACTTTCTCTATAAACATTTCATACCCACATGAAGGAAGTCTTAATGACATCTCTTTTCCTCAGTTATGCCTGGCAGGATGGCTTCCAATTGACTTGAACCCAACTATTGACCAGAGGGAACACAAAGAAGTTGTGGATGCTAGTAATTGGCCAGGACAAAAGAGCTGACAGACCAGATGGGAGAAAATATGAGACAAGAAGCAGTTTGGCCCTTCAGTGTATGACTTTGAAGAATGTCACTGGAACTTTGCTGTTGGCTATTCATCTTATAATAATAAAATAATATCCTTATAACTGAGAGTCAATCCAATATTAATAGTGAGTGACACATGCATACATGAGTACCTATAATGTTTGAAAATTGAACTTCAATATGTCTATAATTTGATACTCTGGTTCATGTCAAAATACAATATTCATAAATTGAATTTTTTACTTTCCATGGTCAAGAGATTTTTTTTCTGAACATTTTCATTTACCATGCCATATTCACAAAATTGTTTTATATGAAATATATGACATCTGGCTTTAACATGAAAACAATACTAGGTAAAATAGACCTACTTCAGTGATGGTAGGCTTTGACTGAGCCTGGTGGAGACCTAATTTGAGTGGCAGTTATTGCAAAGCTGGCCGTTTAATGCTGCAGTTCAACAAAGCAGGAACCAGAGTCATTAGTGATTCTAGAATAATAATTAGCGTACACTGGTCTTGGATCTGACCGCAGCACAGATTAAGCAAAAAAAGGAAAATGAAGCAAAAAAGTAATCTTAGTTGTGATCATGGAAAAGGAGCCTTGTAGGAATGGTGACTTTTGTTGTTTGTTCCTTTACAAAAGCTACTGTGTTTACCTTCATGGTTTTATGTCAAAATACATTCAGAACCTTTTAGTCACAATCAATTAATGTAACATGGAAACTTGATAGTATAAATATAAACAAAAAAAATTACATTTAATCTTATTTAAAAATAATTTATATACATTTGCATAAATTGTCTGTTATTACATATTTGCCCCTAAAAATTTATAAAATGGTCTATAAAAACTGTTTACAAGAAGAAAACAAACAAATAAACACACACACACAAAAAGAAGAAGAAGAAGAAGGCAATGAAAGAAGTAAAAAGAAACTACTGCTTTTGATTAACTTTCTATCAAAATCTATCACAGTTGTTTTCTGAGAAGGGAACCAATGTCTTTCTGCCGTGCCTTCGCTTGCCACTCTTGAAAATACTTCTCCATTTGCCGTCGAGTATTCGGATTGCCAACATTGACCGTTGGGATGATCTTTTTAGGATGGATGAACTGCACAAATCGCTTCAGTTCATTAAAGCTGGAGTGTTCCGAGTAGGGTATACCTGAAACATGTGGTTTTCTTAAAGTATACACTTCGTATCCAATCTTCAAGAGTTTGTAAACTGAAGTTAATTGAATTTGATTTATTACATGAGGAATGGAAGTAATGTTTATTTGATGAAAAATAAACAGAAAACCCAAGAACCTAGTTTCAATTCCCCTCACCTTAACACATACAACCTTAGTCAAAATTGCTTCACACTAAACTTTCGGTTTTGTCGATAACAACTTGGTATTCATTAAGCTTCCGACTACATTTCCCCAATATCTTTCACCACTTGGGATAGTTTTTCCTAATAGTTCTTGCTGATGTATTATTACAGATTGCAGAAACTACAATTAATATATGTTAATGACTCATTCCAATAAATATTCATTAAAATAAATTATTTTACCCATTTATATATTCATATCCATTATATATACACACACATGTATTTGGAAGCCTATGCATGTTTACATATATATGTATGCCTATTCAATATATTCTTCTACATAGACACACATCTATCTATCTACCTATCACTATCTGCTTCTGGCGATTTTAAGTTTATTACCAAATGCCGGTGGGAAAAATTTGAAACCTACCCAGCCTATGCAAAGGAGAAAATCAGCATCATTCAATAAGATTAACACTACAATAATAAAAACACCAGGCAGGAAAGCTGTCTTGAGTTTGAAAATACAAGATCTCCAACTTCGGCTAATTCATTAAAACAGTACCACTGGTAATATGTAATTTTGTTTTGTTAAATGTCTTTACACAAAGATGGCTTCACAAGTGCATAGCCACCAAGGAGTTGATTAGTAGTCTATGTAGCCTTACCTGATTATGATTAAGATTATTATTATTATTATTATTATTATTATTATGATTATGATTATGATTATTATTAGTATTATCATCATCATCATTATTATTATTTTTTTTTCTAATGCTATCCCTGTCATGTTGTTGTTATCATTACTGACAATGTAATTACAATGTTATTAACAAAACTAAGAGGAATACAAGATAAAAAAGAATACTTCTGAACATCAAATAAAAGGGTAAACAGATAGGCAGGACTAGTAACTGACTCTTAAGTGATTAAACACTTGTATAGCCATCAATGTGTAACTATAATTAATAAGCAAAACTCACAATGATCATGGCAAGTAAATACATGTCCTCCCAACTGACAAGGGGTTATTATGAAATACAGTACTTGCTCATGTTGGTAAGCCTGAAAGCACTGACTAAATAATAACTGTAATACTTATAGAACAATCAATCTCAATGTAATACTCACCATACATATATACGTTGCCACACTGCTTCGAGGCAAGATTTTCCAGGCCTTGCCCCTGCTCGCTGGAGTGCTCCCAGCCAGTTGGCCGAATCGCCACCACCACTGAGTACCTTGGCTTCAAGGCCTTCACATATGCCATCAGCTTCTGCAGAGGGTATGAATTTGGT